AAAAGAGGGCTGGTAAACTAAAAATGAGTTCTTCTGGTAATATAAAATACTTCAATATAACACTGAGATATAATCACACTTTTATGACACCAATGACTAAAAGAGCTCCCACAAACAGAAAATTATTTTTTTAAATACAGTACCTGCCCTAGTAAAAACAACAAAGTGAAAAACAGCAAACAATTTAAAAACAAAACTATTGTCAACTCTTCATATATTTTTCATCTACCCTTTGTTCTTAATCCTTAGCCTAAAAATATGTGTTATTGTTGTTGCCTATTTACCTTTTCCATTAAAAAAATTGTTCTTTTAGGAATTACCATAATAGCAGAAAATAGCAAAATATATAATTTGTGCCTTTAAAAAATCTATCAAGAAGGAAAGATAAATATTTGTAGTCTTATATATTTGTTCTCTCTGGTCTGGCCTAGTTTCTGTTTCACATTTAAAGAAGAATAGACCAAGGGGCAAGTTTGTGAATGCAAAGAAAGGTTTTATGGGCAAACAGAATTTCCATTTTCGGTTTAACTTAATAAAATTTGGAGTGGACTTTAAAAGATTTTTTTTTTTTTTTTTTTAATACACATATAAGTGCTCTTTTAAAAAATAGAGGAATCAGGAACAATTAGTGTTTAGATCATGATTTGGATACTTGATAGTTGATACCTTTAAAGTGTTGAAAGCATGAATAGGAATAATGATAACAATGAGTATTTGAATAGTGCTACATCCTTGTCGTGAAATGCTCAAGGCGCTGAGTGGGCAAGAATAGGTTTCTGTAAAAACTCAGCAAAAGAAAGAAAGGAAGATAATTCAGGTTTCATGCCTTGCACGGCACACCTGCATATTTACTTATATTTTGGATAATGTTAAGTTCTTTAATGGAAAAGGACATGAATTGCACTAAAGATCCAATGCCTCAGTACATCCTGGACCTAGGTCCATGGTTACATGCAGGTCAGAGTGTACAGTATAGGATTAAAAAGTTCAATAAAAAAATTGAATAAAATGTATACTGGGAGTCGGCTCTCCCTATCAAGACATGTATCTGATCAATCGTCACTAATTCTTCGTGGAATGAAAAGTTCAAAACAAAATTCCAAGTCTGCTTATTTAGTCTTTCTTTTGTTTGTCACTGCATAAAATACCTTTCAGACTGCGCACAAATTGGCTGTATCCAAAATCTCAGAACAAACAGAATAGCTGAGAGAGAGAGCTGTAGAATAAATAAACTGTATTAATGGAGGACAAAGTTTGAATTGAAATCCAAAGTGCAAATATGAAGTGGAATTAGATACAGATAGCTGGCATAGACTTCTGTTGCCTAGTATAGATCTAGATCGCAGTGCCACTGGTCTGGCTGCCATGCAGGTAGCCGCCACAAAAATTGGATCAAAAGTTTGAGGAATATAAAGCCCATGTCTTGCGTCAAAGTGTGTGTGTTTTGCTGTTAAATGTTGGAAAAACTAAATTATAGCGAACTCTTGTGATTTTTCTTCAAGTGAGATCTGGCAGGAATTTACGGTGATTGTTCCTTTTGGAAGCATGGAATTTGTATGTTTGCCACGTGACCTGAGCACTGTAGGACCTCTCTAAGTCTATTGGATTGGTGGTGTTTGGAAACATTTGTATTGACGAAGAACATGGTCATGTGACTCCAAGAATGTGCACACATTCATATGCATAATGTCTTTTGGTGTTGACATCAGTCAGGGAATTTCGGTACAGTACCTGGATCAGCGTTTAGCATTTATTCTTCAGGCTTTATAGGCTGGGTACACTAGGCGTGGGTACACTAGGCGTGTCTTCATCAGCTCGAGTTTGCCCAAAAACCTGCTATTTTCAGACTCAGGATATTATATCCCGGAGCTCGATTGGGAATTTTGGGATAGTTGAAATAGCGGGCTATTTGGCAAACTCGAGCTAATGAAACAGGCCTATTCACTCTGGTTTCTGTAAGATTGTATAGAGAGAGAGAGGGGGAGCGGGAGAAGAGGGGCGGGCCCGCGGGGGAGAGACAGAGAGAGAAGGGGGAGAGAGAGGGGGGGGGGGAGAGATATAGGGTAGATAGAGAGGGAGAAAGAGAAAGATGGAGAAGGGGGAGAGAGAGAGGGGGGGGGGGGAGATATAGGGTAGATAGAGAGGGAGAAAGAGAAAGATGGGGACCCATAAGCATCCAATCTGAGTGAAAATCAAAAGAAACTTAAATACAGAAAAGCGATCTATGAGCCTAGCCGATTCCTGATTTGCTGACTTTTCCTTTTCATTTTTGTAAAAGAAAATATCCTTGTCGATCATGCCAGAACTTAAGAAGGGCAGACAATTATATCTTTTAATAACACATAGTTGCTTGTTCTGGCTCTCATCAGTAACTTTTGAAATCTAGGCCAGCTCTTCTAACTTTGAGCAGACAATTTAGAATCCATAATTTAAATAAAAATGTAAATATGCATGCATTGTCAGCATGGATCATTGACTCCAGGTAGTTTGAATTATATTAACCTTGGATGTACAAGGACATTGAGAGATTGAGAATGAAATTTACTGGTATCTGTTCGGCCTGTCTTCATCAGCTTGAGATTGCCAAATATATCTTCCTATTTGAACTATCCCGAGCGCAATTATCCAGTTAGTTTGCGTCATTATCAGCCCGAAGTTGCAATTAGTGGGATATTTGGTCAAGATAATCATCCCAAGATATCTTGAGCTAGTTTGAAAAATATCTCGCTATTTGTCCGGTGCGTCTTTACCAGCCCGAAGACTCGAACTTTACGTGAACGCTGAGCAAAATATCTAGAGCTGATTTCTTGGGCTCGAGTTTTAAGTTTTGAGGTCAAGTCTCGAGCTGATGAAGACGCGATTTGTAACTTCTGGATTATTTCCCAAATCAGAAATAGGGGGCTATTTTGCAATCTCGAGCTGATGAGGACAGGCCTATTGTATTCATCATGATCACTCTGCATGCAGTTTGATGATGTGCTTGCTAGCTTTTAATTTAATGAGATTGAAGTTGTGAGAAGGGTGTATTTTTCTCGATTTGAACAATTACATTTTCTTGCCGAGAATTCTGACTTGCTCTGATCAATTGGCCGCACATTCTCAACACTTCGCCTTTCAGGATTAGGGCGTACCTGTTCAGCTGACTCAAAAAATTTTAATTTTTTTTTTTTACCACTCTTAGAAATTGGCATTGGGCATTATTTTGGCTTGTGATAGGAGGTTTGCTTATCAATTGACATTGTGGAAGGAACATATTCAGTAGGTAAGGCTCACACTAATTTTACTGTAGACGGTCCAGACAAAATTTGAGCCTATATGCATAGAGCCCTGTGTAGAAATTCTGACATGTTGTGGTCCCGACCTGCATTTTGGGCACCTCTCCAGTATCTAGCCCTTCAGTAGGGTTAGGCCTAGTACAGGTGTACATGTCTTCATGAAGTCATTTCCATGTACCTGTAGGCCTGCACAAACCAGGAACTTTGTACCGTTGCGATCAAGTTTGTCTTTTTTGATAATCTATAGGAGTAAACCCATGCAAAAAGGTGATAGTATTCACAGGGAAGAGAGAAATGTCCTTGATTTCTGCCGTTTCCTGAGTGATCAGACGTTTCCTGAAATCATGCCTTCAATATGCTGAACAAAGCCTGAGATTACAGTAGAAGGAAGGAACAGTTCACCCTCATCCTCAGTGTAATTAGAGAGCCTCGATATGCATCTATCGATCTGTAGCATGGATACCTCTTTCTAACTTTGTCAACAGATCTTATTTGTAAATGATCATTATATCCTGCGATTTTCCTGCTTAGATAGATGGACATATTAGACTTTTGTTTTCTTTGAACAAGGAAGAAGGTTGCATGACATCGTAGAGTACAGAGGAATGTTTGTTTACCATGCATGTCTCCCAGTGTTAACTTGGCACAAGGATTGAATGAATAACGATATAAAATTCTCTGTCGGTGATGAAGTGATCAAAGTTTGGAGAAGATGTATTACTGCGTGACAGTAAAATCTCCAAAGGTTTGTATATTGACACCACTATCTCTGTACATTTTTAATTTTTTTTTAAATTGTACCCCGGTACTTATCGTGTCAAGGTCATATGTCATTTTTCTGAAGGTTCACAATTTGTAAGGTTTGTATTTCCTAAAAATGAAACGGAGTTCGTAATTCCGAAATTCGTTTACAAACCCCCTGGTATGGGAAATTTGTGTTTTGAAATTATGAATCTTCAAAAAAATAAACCTTTGGCAAAAACGAGTTCATTCTGGTTCTTTTACGTGATATTAATCCCTGTATTTTTTGTGACCAATGGAAGAACAAAAATTTGCTCAATCAAGTCCTGAAAACACAAATGTAGCTTTTAGATTGTACCTACCACACATTTTTTTTAATGTATAGAAATCACAAATCTTATTTTTCGAAAGTGTAGCAACTTAACAATTTTGTTATTGTGTTTGTTGTACTTATCTATTTTAGGAGGGAGTTGTAAGGAATAAGAGGAAACCTTTGAGTGCATTCTGGTTTTGCATGATATTAATCCCTGTATTTTTTTTGTGACCAATTGAAGAGCAAAATTTGCTCAATTAAGTACTGAAAACACAAATATAGCTTCTAGGTTATACATACCACACATTTGTTAAATCTACAGAAATTGCAAATAATTTTTTGCAAAATGTAGCAACTTAACAATTTTTTTTACTGTGTTGTTGGTACTTTTCTATTTCAGGAGGGAGTTGTAAGGAATGAGAGGATAATATATCTTTGAGTGCATTCTGGTTTTGTGTGATATTAATCCCTGTATTTTCTTGTGACCAATTCAAAAGCAAAAATTAATTAAAAAGTACTGAAAACACAAATATATAGCTCCTAGATTGTACCTACATGTACACCATGTACTGCCAATTTGTTAAATGTATAGAAATCACAAATATTGTCTTTTCAAAAGTGCAGCAACTTTACAATTTCTTTACTGTGTTCTTTGTATTTATCTATTTTAGGAGGGAGTTGTAAGGAATAAGAGGATTTCTCCTGAAAGCATCCCGTTCAAACCTGACCAGGCAGAGCTAGAGGAATGCGTACAGAAACTACAAGATATTTCTCATCTGGTAAGTTTGACTTTATCTCCTTCCTACAAACGACTCCAAACTTGGGCCAAGACGAGGAAAGTTTGGTATTGTTTATAGGTCATAATCATAGGGCATGGCTTTAAATCAATTGATTTACAATACTATTTTTTCCCCGTAACATGAGAGTAATTTTAATCATTTCATTATTTTAATTAAATATAATGTTAATTGTTATTGTATAATTGTGTTAAGTGGGGGCACGCTACAAGAGTCCTATCTCACACCCGGGGCAACGTGTCTGACACGGCCGGTTGTAGCAACTACTCCGAAGATCAAGATACATTAATCTTGGTCTAAGGAGACACGAACGAACAAATGCTTCGAACATACTGAAGAGGCAGGCGGTTTGTTGTGAATCCATCTACCGTATTCAGTACCGTTTTGTTTTCAGAAAAAAAGGTACCTGTAGCTTCAAGCTTGTGTTGATATACTGGTAATAATTGTTACCGGGTATTAACACTTTGATTGCTTTTTGTGCCTTTATGCACTGTTGCTCATTTGCCACACATGCATCTTTGCACAAAAGAATGGCACCAAGTGAGGGAAGGAATGCCATGTGCAACACAATAAAAAGCCTTGTTAAATCACCCATTTATGGTCTTAGCTCCATTACAGCCCTTATAACACTGGCAGGCCTTAAATTTCAATATTTTTAGGGCAAGGCCACTTTTCTGTAGGGCACATTCCTATAGTACAGCACAAATAGGAAGAATTGGAAAGGGCACACAAAATCTCCAAGGCCAATGAGAGGGGCATTGAGGCCAATCAAAGGGGCATCCAAGGCCTGGCCTTGGATGGCCTTGGATTAATTTAAGCCCTGCACTGGTATAGATCTATAGATAAATCTTGCGCTGGCAACAGTTAAAAAATCTTGATTCCTATTGGTACAGTATTTCTATCCCATGATATTGTGGGAGTGCGTGATTTGTGACCTCACTATAAACTTGGGTGGTTCAAGTACGGTGTCACCCAAGTTTATAGTGAGATTCACACGACAGACAGTTTGTTAACTTTAACTTTAAGTTGTGGTTTTAAACGTCAAAGTTAACTTGCAGTTAGTGACCATGCAAACACATTTGTGGTCACAATTATTTTTGGTGAAGATAAATGTATGTTGGTTATTGTTCCCTATAATTATAGTTTTTGTTTTTGATGTATCAGCGCTCTGATCAGTATTCTCTTAAAGCACTTAGTAAGAAACAATTATTTTAATTATTATTATTAATCATAAGCATGATAACTAGTACAAGCGATGGGAGTCCTCACCTGAAATGCTGTGCCCTGTGGACGCAATTTACTTTCAGGTTACGCCAGTTTTGTAGTTACCATGACTACTAGTACAGTGCACTTGCCTGGCTTGTCATTTGAATTTTGAAACTTGTTGTTTTGGTCCTTTGGGAATCCTCATGGTTGTTTGTGGATAGTAAATTTCTTTGTTTATAAGCTTTGAGATTTGTTAAACTTGAAGTTTAAAACTAGAGTTTCAAAAATGGTCCTACATGAACATAACTTTTGATAGAGGATATGCTCACATAATGAATGATGTGACGTGTTCTACTATTTCAATATCATCTTTCAAATCAACTTTATTAATGCACCTACAGTGTATGCATAGTAGATAGGCATAATTGTATGGTGTTGCAAATTTGAATGATTTGATGTGTGTGCATGCACAATAAGTATCAAAATGAAGTAAATCTCTTCAATTATGGATACAAATTTATTTAAAAAAAAAAAAATCATTTGTAAAATGAAATGATACATCAGCCTTTTCAAATTGTGACCATTTAATTTTATAGGCTGTGAATAAAAAGCTTAGGAACGGACATTAAACAAGAGAAGTAGATGAGGAAACCCAACACAGTTTTATCAATCTGTTTGCTTGAAAAGGTGTGTCTTTTAATACGCTTTAAAAAAAATAATACTGTTTGTGTAGGCCTACAATACAACCACATAAAAAGACTTTTGAAAGTGTTATTAATCTTGGCACCTTTAATATCTTGAAGCAACATTCCTTTGGCCGCATACCAAGGTGTCTGTTACAATCAAGGGAAACTGCTCAATTTGAATTTGTTCCAGACATATCTTTACATACACCCTTCCTATCAAAATGTTTTGTTTAAAAACTTGAGACATATGTATTGGATGACAAGGAAATGGTATGACTTTTATATTGATAATTAACATTGTAAGATTTAAGAGAAAGCAAATTACCCGGTAGGCTTTTATACATAGACATCTTCTTACAATCTTACAATCTTACATCTTTCCAAGCTTGGTCTATCAAGATATTTCTATTTCCCAGCACCATTCAGGACCCTGTTTCATAAAATACTTGTTATCAATAACAAGTTTCAATAACTGTTATAAGGCTATAAGCTAATAAAATAGTGGCATCTGATTGGCTGTGAACAGATTTGTCACAGATCTGTGGCAGTTGTTATTGATAACAAGTTTTATGAAACAGGGCCCAAATCTATTTTATATTCATAAGCGTTCCCCCAAACACTCATGTTTTATTTTATTCCTCTTGCTTGTGCTGGAGCAGGCTTCCTGCATTCAAGGAGGAAATTAATTAGAAAAGCGTCTTTACAGAAAAGGAGAATTTAATTTGTAAAGTAGACTGAACTTGTCACTTTCATAGGCTGGTAGCAAGTGACATTAATCATTTAAAGGTAAAGACCAGTATTGGAAACGCCCCAATTTCAAAAAATGAAATGGAAGCTCTCATTACCAATCATGTGAAAGAATATGTTTTGACTAATACATGATGATAAAAAATTTGCCGGGAAACCGCCTACTTATTCATATATTTGGTAAATTTGTTTCTCTCATGGTCTGTGAGAGATATAGGGTAGTCCCATATACATCTTTCTGTGTATAGTGCTTGTAACTTTACGAAGAATGGGCCAAATTTCTTATCATTTTGATGATTCCAGAACCTTGCAGATGCTAGATGCTAGATGATCAACCTTTTCTGATCGATTCCACAACGTTTCTTTCACAATGCAATCGCATGACCATAACTGGTCTTTACCTTTAAGCTCCCAATATATATTTAGCTTGGCTTTCTACTGGTTCATGTTCATGAAATGCATAATGAATTACGCTGTCGTAGATTCACCCTCCAATAAATCAGGAAAGAGTAGATGGCAACTTTTAGCAAGTATTTCAAACTCTACATTAATATTTCAATCAGATTTGTTTGTTTACATGCATGGTCATGTGATATCTGTTATGGGGAAAGACAGTATACTACAATTTAAAAAGTCCTTGAACACTGCATAATATATAGTACTTTAAAGCACTCATCCTGTCGTTTGATCCCTTAAAGTCAACTAAATCCATGGGTCCTGTTTCACAACACTTGTCATCAGTGACATGTGACAGTTTTTGTTATGAGCTACTGAAATCCTTGCTTCTGATTGGTTATCAGCAGATTTGTCACTGATTTTTGCCATTTGTCATTGAAAAAAGGCTTTGTGAAACAGGTCCCCACCTGCATTTACACTGCAAGCAAAAACCGTTGTTTTTCATCAACTTTTCCTACATTCCAGAGTTTTGTCAGAAGTTGCTAAGCAGCAACCCATATTACACCGAAAAACCCACCTCTGGGGTGCGGTTTAGTTAATGGCGGCCGAAACTACACTGTTTTTTGTTCAGTGTAAATGCTCCTTCTCACAACACCAATTGATTATTCGTTTTTTGGGCACATGCGCACAACTTGACAAATAAATAACAGAATTGTAAACACCATTTTTTTAATTGTTTGTTTCAGTTGTGTAAATAGTAGTTAAAAAAAGCAATGTTTTTTCCAATCATTTTATCTGTAATGTGAATGGCCCTACAGTCACTTCAATCTGACTGTGTTTGATGTGTGAATAATTTGTAAACAAACCTGTTGACTTCTTAGCAGATCATGAGATGTGCAACCTGAGAGTGATTCAATGTGTTAGGGTATGCATTATCAGCAAGTCATTTGAATGTTGGCTGGGGATCGATTCCATATTCCAAGAGTTAAAGTGTAATATTCTGGCCGAAAGGATTGTCTCATTTGTGGCCTCATGTTCAAGTTTTGGAATAATATTTTACGTTGTTTCTTTAGAGAGGAGGTGTGTAAGTATAGATTATTTTCATTCTCAGGATACTTTTTTTTCCCAGCTAGAATAGATTTGAAAGTCTCAAAGGGAAAAACTGCAAGTAACCAATACTAATTTGTATTTCATTTATTAGAATATCAAACCATTGGTGTGTTTTGCATTGATTTCTTTCTAGGAGAAACTTATTTTTGTTTTCTTGCTAGTGGATCGTTCATCCTTTTCCTCATGATTAAGATTAGGGAATCAGATTTTATATTTTTGAGTTAAATAAAAAATGGTGAGTTTGTGAAATTAGACTTCAGCATAATATCAGTCACATATATAAAATATTCCAACCTCCTACTTCAAAACATGCCTCAGTTTGTATCTATTCCAGCTGATGTGAACATTTTGACTTCATCAGAGGATCCTGTGCCTTTGAATGTTTTTTAAAAACAGAGATATGGTGCCATATAAATGATGTGAATCAAAATACCTTTAAGAAACAAAGATCTTCATTTGGTTATGATATTTTGACCTGTACTCTCCCCCATCATGCACAACTTTAGCCTTTTTAGGCACTGTCCCTATTAGTCTGCTCCAGGGGATGTTCGTGACTTCTAAACAATACGTCAGACGAACCCAATAAAGGGTTCTAAAACTTCCGAGAAATGACAATGGCTAGCTGGTATGGGGTGGTTTCTATTGTCCTCGTAGGTATTGAATAGGTTTCGCTCATGCATGCATGTTTATACCGAGAACTCAAAAAGTATTAGGACTGTATTTAGTACCCTCAGTATAGTGTGTACTATAGGACAGATATCACACATTACTTTTGCATGGGATATATCGAGGAATATTGCTTTGGATATATCAAGGAATATTTTTCATGTAGGACTAGGAGTATGTGTGCAGAACTGTAGAGCTCTAGAACATTACACAGGTAAAGTTTCTCAAGTTTTATTTAACCCGTTTAAAGGCTTTGATAATGATAGGCAAGAAAGCAAACTATCGGAAGTAATTAGGGCCCTACATGTATATGTTATCAAAGCTGCCAACCATCCTATTTTGGGAGAATGATTCCTATTTTGTGTCCTTCAAGCTATTGTTTTGAACCCTAAATTCCTCTCTTAACATTCTTGTGGAATATTCTGTGTGAAAAGTTTAAGACTGTATTCCTAATTTTGCCTTGAGATATTCCTAATTTTTTGCTGTGAAAAGTTGGCAGGTATGTGTTATGCTAAACAGGTCTACTCAAGAACTGTCATGGGAAATACAAGTACACTACAGTCAAACCTGTCTAATATTAGAAGTCATGTGATATTGATCGCAACTAAGAGATAGGGGACTGTAAACTTACGATTGATAAGAGAAGTAGCGATTGATTTGGATCAACCGCAACTCTTTGTATGACTAGTGCCTAGAATTGTAATTTTAGCTTTTTTCTCTTGAAAGTTAGTTAGTTCTCTCTCAAAGACATCCAGATGGAAAGCAAGAGTTTGATTCACAGGAGCAGCAAGTGCATCACAAGTACTAGTCTGCAAGCACAGACCCTAATTTGACACTTTATCAAAAAATCATTGTGCCTTGAGAGAAGCCTAGCCCAGCTACTCAGGAGCAGCTATAGTACATGGCCTATGGTAGTCTTATAGTGCAGACTCTCTTTTACGACTGACCAGGGTTTGTGCTTGCAGACTACACAAGACTACCAGAGTATAATTTGGTGTGATTTTCAGTTAGAGCTCAAGCAAGGTGTAGTTAATCAGGATGGTCAACTGTAGTCTTTAACATTGATACGTATAATTTCCTCTATGTGTAATTTCAAAATTTAGTTGAAGCACCAAAGGTTAAAAAAGTGGTATTCTTGTGGCAGTGTTTTGTACACATGAGCTGGTCTGGTCCTAAGTTTGCTGTACTAGTTTTAATCGCTTCACAACCCTGGCTACTGGTCTCATTTTTATATCCTGTTACTTTAGAATAGAGTGAGCTGTGGCGTTGATACCGAGACAGAATGAAGAGCACAGTGTGCTTAGTATGCCAAGTTTTATTATAGTATTAATGACTGCTTTGAGAGAAATAGTTGTTTTATTACGCTCAAGGGAAGGTTAGAATTGTGCTATTCCCCGAGGCTTGCCGAGGGGAATAGCCCAATTGTAACCTTCCCGAGAGCGTATGAAAACAACTATTTCTCGAATATTAAAGCAGTCATTAATACTTTTATATGCCGAAAAAAAATAGACTAAAAAATGAAAAATTAAAAATATTTATCATTTTTGTCGAAGACGGGATTCGAACTCTTGCGTACAACAAGAGGTGTACCGAAAACCAACGCTTAGACCACTCGGCTATGGCCCGCCGTTAACATGCTTTGCAGTTTTCTCCAATATATACATTAAAATGGATTGAAACCGGCTTCGCGTGTGATGAATGCTTCGCAAAAGCTCCATATACGGACTCTTCTTTTACTTTTGCAATGCATATTGGCACGAACTTAGATCAAGATCTATCGGCAGATGTTGTTTTTGTCTCGCCTGCGTAGCAAAAAGCGAGACATAGGCGCCGCTTTTCCGGTGACGGCGGCGGCGGCGGCGACGGCGACGGCGACGGCGACGGCGACGGCGACGGCGACGGCGACGGCGTCAACATCAAAAACTTAACCTAAGGTTAAGTTTTTGAATTTTTGATATAATTTTTAAAGTATAAGTTCTTAGTCAATGAAACTTTGACTATAGGGTAATCAAGTATCCCCAATCATGTGAGTAGAATTTTAGATCACAAAGTCAAGGTCAAAGGTCATTTCAGGTCAACAGACTTGGACTATGTTGTAGCATCATCATCGAAAACTTAACCAAGGTTAAGTTTTTGAATTTTTGATATAATTTTGAAAGTATAAGTTCTTAGTCAATGAAACTTGGACTATAGAGTTAACAAGTCTCCCCAATCATGTGAGTAGAATTTCAGGTCACTAAGTTAAGGTCAAAGGTCATTTAAGGTCAACAAACTTAGACTTTGTTGTGGCATCAACATCAAGATTTTCAAAATGCTTCTTCTTCGTTATTTTTCAACCGATTTTGATTCTGATTGTTTCATATGATAGGGCTAGGAGGGGGATTTAAAATTTCTACACAGAATCGTGAAATTTATTATCTATGCTAATTTATGCAAATTTATTCAAAATCACAAAAAAGGCTTCATCTCCTTCATTTCTTGACCGATTTTGATTTGGTTTGCTTTATATCGTAGAGCTAACTTTGGTACACTAAACTACTACACAGAATTTTGAAATTGTTCTGCATTAATTAATTAGGGTAATTTATGCAAATTTATTCCAAAAATAACAAAAATTGCTTCTTTTCCCTCATTTCTTGACTGATTTTGATTTGGTTTGCCTTATCTGGTAGAGCTAAATTTGGAACACTAAACTTCTACACAGAATTGTGAGATTTTGCTCCATTGATTATTTATGGTACTTTATGCAAGTGAAATGAAATTATGTCCCTTCCAGGGCATCAAATTTTTATTTTTTGACCAGTTCAAAAGTGTACCACATAAAATTTACGATATTTGTTGTTGCGAGATGTGGATGAGTGCTACGTCATTGACGATCTGGTTTATCATATTGAATTGCGTTATGCAGGCGAGACCGCCGAGAGCGTTTCCCTTGTTTTGTTTTTGGAAGTTTATTTTCGTCTTCATGTCAACAATGCAAGATAAAATTGTCGGTAAGATCGATCGAGATTCAATTGTATTGAAATTACCAACCAATCCTTCGCACACATACGGCATCCTCCATCGCTCAAACCATTTTTTAACATGTAAACCTATGGGGTAACCATGGAGGCTGACCAACTATTTTTAATAACCATGGTTATTAAAAATATTGAAATGTTTTAAGCATGGTTACCGAGAATTTTACAGGAACAGTTGAAGTTTATGAATGCAATTCGACCAATCAGATGGCTGGATTTCTTAAGTGAGGTATATAATACAATCTGATGATTCCTTTACAAAATATTTCCATAGAGTTCTAATCCTCCTTTTGTCACATCGCACAATACATTAGGAATTGGAGAGCTTAATGGTAATACAAAGTTTTGGTACGGGGTCATGATTTTGGTTCAAATGAACATATTGGAAGCATATGGGATCCTACAATATTCAATGATCATTGTCTGGGTTGAAATCAAGTCTAAAGTGATGAAATTGTAAATAGTAAACTCTTTATGTTCATAGCTGCCTCTCAAGACTGATATTACTTTAGCTTTAAAACAAAGTTTTTTTTAGTCTTTTTTTACTACAATCGACCGATTTGCTATTCCTGTTTGGAAATTATATATGAGAACTGTATATTCTGAGATTTTTATGGTCGCAGCTACATGTACCATGGAATGGCCTTAGGCGCTATTTGAAATATTTGAAACTTACATGTACATGTACCAGGAGCACCAGTAAATTTTGATTATTCAATTTCTCAAAAGCATGTTTTAGAGGCTAACTTATTATCAAGTCCCGTGGAAAGCAGTAGGACTTAACCTGTAAGTCCCCTGGTTACTAGTAAATGTAGGTTTTGATAGTATACAATAATGTGCCATAAATGATGATGATGATATGGGAGATTTTGTCATGTAAACAAATAACATCTTTTAACTAATATAATTCATTATAAATAATTATTCATTAATTATATATTTTTGATTTCTGGATGTGTGAAGGCATCAGTTCTAAGTTGAATTAATTTTCTCCTTCTAACTGACATGGTTGAGTTCACATTCATTTTTCTCTCTGTTTCATGCACAGGATGAGATATCATCAGATGAGGATGTCCCTGACTGTGAGTCCATAGAACCTTTACTAGAGTCAGGAAGTGTGAAGGCATCAGTCCCACATTGAATTCATTTTATCCTTCTAACTGACATGGTTGAGTTCACATTCTTTTCTCTTGTTTTATACACAGGATGATACATCATCAGATGAGGATGTTCCTGACTGTGAGTCCATAGAACCTTTACTAGAGTCTGGATACAGAACAGAAGCCAGCATTGGACGTAGCCCTGTCCCTTCTAAACACCAACTGTTTCCTCAGTCGTTCCCTATTTCAACCGTTGTAGGTAAGGACTTGACACAGCACCATCCCTTATAAGCCCTGTATTGTTCATCTGTCATACTTTGGCCCAACAGTCATAGTTAAAGGGAGTGGGTCATCAGTTTCCATATGCAGAAGGCCATAATTTGCAGACACCAGACTTGGAACACTCTTAATGTGTGTACAAGTCTGCAGACCTGTAGACCTACATGTATCAAGAAATACCCAACCGTCTCTCAGAGAGTCTTTGGATTCTTTCTGGAGAGTCTTTGGGCGAGGGAAAAGTGAGATAGTTACTAATTGGGGAATGGTATACAAAGCATTACATACATGTATACCCAGCCATGCCTCAACTTAAACAAATCATGGATAAGTATTGGATGTTGCCCCATCTCTTTTAGGCCTAGATGTACATGAATACTGTTCTCTCAACTTTACCCCATTTCAAATGATATTTACTTTAGATGTACTTTATCCTATCAAAAAAGGATAATTTGGAACCTGATGCATAACTAGTATTATTGTAGGTGAGTTGTTTCTGCAAATGCAAATCTTGTGCATGACAGATGAAGAGTTTTCCTTAAAAATTGTACATAATGTGAGAATCTGCATTAATGGCTTAATGAGATTGTCTGATATCTTGTGTACAAATAGTTTTTATTTTTGGTACCCATTTAACGTAACTTTTTGTTTGATTTCCTCTACCTCTCAGATGCCTTAGCCTTAGATGCCTTCCCCCAATCATTCCATCCTATTCCTAGTCTAGACAGAGCAACCTTCCTCTCCAGGTCAAGTGCCCTCCTGCCGCTCTGTCCTCGCTGCGGATATCACCTCGACCCTTCCCAACACCAAGTCTTCTCATCTACGGAGATCCTCTACCCCAAGCTCTTTGGTGCCTTTGATCCCATCGGCCTTCTCACAGGGGACGCCACAAGCATAGCCGAACTCTCGGACACTCTAGATGATTTGTTCAAGAATGAAGTGGTGAAGCCATCGCTCCAGGATTGTGGCACGCAAACTGAAACTGCCGAAGACCACTGTAAGGAATCACAAAGACTTCCATGCCATGCCTGCGTCCAGACTGACCTAGAGGTTCGTATTCGTAAAATAGCCGGCACACAGACCGAAGAGGATGCTGCTTGCTTGTTGAACAAGAGTTCAGAGGTCACGCATCAAGGATCAAGCACGTGTAGCCAGGGAGTGTCAGCTAGCGTTGTGCTGACAGAAACTCAATCACAAACAGACAATGCAGAAGAGAGCTGCGATACTGTCCTTGTAGACAATGCGGTTGAAGCGAGTCTAGCGAAGGTATCACTGACAGGGAACTCATCCACGCAGACAGACTGCATTTCCAATGAGGATTCATCGGTAGAAGTAACTAGCATTGCTACACAAACCTTGCCAAACCCTAACCCAGCTACCTCAGCATCTTCTTTCACCTTTGACCTTACCATCCCCGTACCTTCTAACGACCATCTGGCCCTCGTCAAGACATCCTCTGTATCATCCACCTATCTGGCGCCCTCTACCTTGCCTCCGCATCTCATCTCTGAAGATTGGGATTCTGATATCAGCTCCGATTCGCCCCTGTTTGTCAGTGCACGGTCGTCACCTCTCGTCTTCGGCAAGCAAGAAGGGGAACCACCCAAGCCTGTCGAGACGCTGAGCTTCAAACCCATAGGTGCAAGCAGGTATGGTGGATTTTAACCCGTTGACAACTGGGTTCTCAGATTCCCATAGGCTTAATACAAGAGCCACTCAGTTCCAGTAGGCAATGACTTAATATCATGCTAAAAAATAAGTTTAAAGATTTACAAGAATGCTCATACGTGTATACTTAAATGGGTTGATCAAGGAATATGCTTCTTTGGTGGCAGTTCATATTATTAATAATTATGTATTGCACACACAAAAGAGAAGACATTTTGATAAAAAGTGCAACACCAATGATTATGGAATTGATGATAGAAAAGTAGTTGACAGATTATCTACAAGTAAATGTGTTCCCTCAAGATTATGTTGTTTTCCTCCTTAACAACAAAATAGTCAGAAGGCTATATAAGCTGTGTTGATCCCACTACAAAGAGTTTATATCGAACGTTATTCACTTTGCCTGTCATTGTGTAAAAATGTGTGCAGGGTTTGTTCGCATGTTTCTTGTTCTATAATCTGTGATGCTTTATATTGTCACTGAAAACTTTCTTTTGTCCAGACGAAAGATTATTTGTTAACAAATGAACCGAGTGTATATTTATTTGTTCATCCATTTATAGCAACCATAGCTTTCGATTCCATGCAAAAAAAGATATATACAAAACTGAGTGACAATACTCATACAATATAGAGCTACATAATTTGATATTTGAAATACTGAAACATGGGGACATGGATATTAGATCATTTATAGGATTTAAATGTGGTGGACATATACAGTGTACTGCTTCAAGAATCTGACTATTTGTCTTTCCCTTGTTGTTTCACCAGAGAAAAGATGGAACAGACTGTTCCTGCATGTCTAGATGAGAACTCTAATAAAGACATAGCAAGACACAAGCCCAGTGTACACAGGTGAGTGAATGTACATCAGGCCAGTTTTCATCAGCTTGAGATTGCCAAATAGCCCGCTATTTCTGATTTGGGAAATAATCCTGAAGTTACAAATCACGTCTTCATAAGCTCGAGACTTGACCTCGTAACTTGAAACTCGAGCTCAAGATATTTTGCTCAGCGTTCACGCATAGTGTGAGTCTTCGGGCTGGTGAATTCGCACTGGACAAATAGCGGAATATTTTGCAAACTAGCCCAAGATAACTTGGGACGATAATCTCGACCAAATATCCTGCTAATTGCAACTTCAGGCTGATGAAGACGCAAATTAAGCCTAAAATTAACTGGATAATTTGCGATAGGGATAGTTCAAATATCGGGATATTTGGCAATCTCGAGCTAGTGGAGACAGGCCTACTGACAATCTCTTTCATTTGCCTTTAATCGTCCTTGGTCAGTTCAGTAAATCAGCTGTTTCTGAATGCTTATAAACCTTTGAAGTGTTGCACTGTTGTTGTTGTCACCTTCCAATGTTTTCACTGAATGCCGCTACTAAATGCCAAGGATTTAACACCATTAAATATCGACTTAATCCATCTTTAACCACAAGCCTTATATACATGTAGCATTGGCTGTGTATAGTATTCCTCACAATGACCCTGAGCTGAGGAGAGTTAGTTGTCTTTTCAGCAAGAGAAACCCTCATAGAAAAGATTGTCTGTTGAGGGCAGAAAGGATGTTAGTTTAAAATGTTTCAGGATATGAATTAAAGTGGAGTTCTGAGGGGTGTTTCACAAAGATCATACATCAAGCTTAATTCTAAGTTAGACTTAAATATTATTGAGAGCCATTTGTAGCCTTATAATGAAATATATTCAAAAGCAAAAATTAAAGTATTTTAGACTGTTAATAAATTTCACATCAAGAACATGAAATCTTCTTGATAATGGAAAATATGATTGATTTGAATCAACATTTGATACCTTTCAAAATAACTTTTGGCCCTCGAAACAGGATCCTTTTCACACCTATCGTAGAATTAGGATTGAGGTCAGATCGTTGTGTACTTGTTATAGTGTGCATTGTTATCCAATATCTTGTATCGTCAGTTGTGACAATAGAGCTCTTTGCAAGTGCCACTCCTGGTACAAACTGGTACAGGAAACATTGCATTGTGTTTTATTTTCTACATGAAAAAATAAGACTGTCAAATATTATAATATATATTTTGAAGTATTACTATGTGAGGGCTTTTGAAGAAGTTCTTAACTTTTAAAGTCTTCTCTACCAATAGCATTTTTTTCGTTTTCTTTTCCATGTTGACACCAAAACAATATGTGATTATGCAGATAATCGTGGATACAAAAGACAGCCACACACTTTCAATGGACCCATTTACTTACATATTCAAATGTTATGCATACGATTTAAACAAAGGTTGTTCTTGACAACCTGGAAGCTTGTCTGAGGCTTGTCCAACATAGCAACAATGTATTATGCAGACTGGATTCCTAATATTATATTTTCATCTATTAATGTCAATGACGGGTTAATGGAATAACCCAACACTAGGTCCCCTGTGAAGAAAAATGTTTACATTTGAAGTTGTTAGTGAACCTTTTCAGTAAAATATGTTAATAAGAAAGGGGATTCTACGGATCTGCCATTCATTGTAATCTGTGTATATGTACATGTTTTCAGCCCAAACAAAAAGTGAAGGACAACTTTTTACTCATGATAATGGAATGCATTCAAATCAAGGTTTTTTCCTTGGTTTTTTAATGCTATTGAGCAAAAGGTTTGTGACCGGATGGTTTTCATGGTTGAAAGCACTGACCTAAATTCATGCATGGTATTTGTGCTGGTGCATTTAGTGATATTACATCTACAGTATAGCCTACAGTAGGTGTGTAATTAAAAACAGTGTACATGTACTTGTATATGCCCTTGGTAAGTGCATTCATCTTTGTTATTAGGTTACACGGATGTCATTATTTATTGTTTATTGGGTTTAATTTGTTCATGTCTAAAAGTTACATGTATTCTTTAGGCATCGATCCATGTGTGGTTAGTTTCTAAGAATGTTTTAATTACTAAACCGGATTTTGACATATCTTTGCTTGTGCACGTAGTGGATTTATATGTTGCAGATTGTTTTGTACACATTGTGAAATGCAAATGTATTTTCCAAAAAGCGTTGTTTAAACACATACAATTCATGTAGTATATTGTGTACATACCATATTTATATCCTCTATATGTGTATATAGACACGTAGTGGATTATACATGTATGTTGCAAATTTTTTCATACACAATGTGAAATGCAAATCAATGTAATAGTATATTGTGTACAGATTTTTGACAACCCATGGATCATAAAAATGATTCATTAGTGGCAGAAACTGCGTAGTGTACTTGTATATACAGTTAACAACTTAATTCTTCATACTGAATTTGATGTTTTTGTGTTTTGTACCTCAAGAATGAAAGGTAAACTGGTTGAATTAGGGCCTTTGTTAAAGTCACATTCTCAAGAACCGTAAATCAGGACAACTTAATTGTTCACATACTTAAAAAATTATAAAACTGGGTAAGAGTTTGAACAATTTAGATGTCAACTGTAAACATTTACATCAAATCAGTTGTGATTTTGATTAATTTGATGTTTATTTACTTGTTACTGTCTCCTGTTTTTGTCCTCAGAGAAACTGTGTTAAACCCAGAAAAATCCACCATGAGACAACGACGATCGCTGGAAAGAGAAAGGAAATACTCAGGAGTTGTTCAAGGTAGGTCTCGATATTTAACCCTTACTCCTGAACAGTGGATTTAAACAAAGCTAATGCTTTTATGGTCTCTTGTTTGCATGAACAATTATCTATTCAAACCCACAATTTGGCCCAAAATGAAATGAGAACATTCCACTAAAAGAGAGTGTACATGGAGGAGTACAAAAATATTTTGGTTGTAAAGATAAAATCTGACATCATAAAGTGCTTGTTATATTAGGTTTCCCCTAACCAAGTATACAGTAGTTAGCCCTGGTAATTTAATATTCTCAACTTTATACCTGTACCTAATCTCTTTGACTGATTCTCCTTTTCTAGTTGATCAATTTATCTTACAGTATTTAGAAATGTTGTGGTAAGTTTTTTTAAATCTCTTAATGAGAAACTAATAAATGTTTTTTTAATAGCTGTCTCTCTTAGAGCAAATGAATGCAAAATGGTGATGTAAATAAAGTAGCAGTCAAATGCAACGATTTCAGTAGCTAATAACAGTTATTGTAACTTATTAGTGATTTAAAACAAGTTGTATGAAAATCGGCCCAGATCATACTCTAAATAAGAAGCTAATGTGTCTAAAAAGAAACCTGTCATTCAATATCTTTCATACAGCAAGCAATGGTGAAATGGTAGACCTGACTACAGCAGAGATCGATGCATCCTCAATAACACCATCAGACCATGCCCTCAACGAGAAACTACTCTCCGAGTCAAGGAAGGTCACTGAGAAGTTTGAGAACAGGAGGGGGAGACGGTTCTCTCCTGCAAAGAACGAAGGTAAATGTATGCTGCGTTTTAAAGCCCGTCTGCACTAGTTGGCCAAGAGGGATTAGACCTCCCTGCATGGTCACTTACAGCTGGTTATCTCATCAAATAAGCTTTTAATTAACATAAGAAAAAGGGGATCAGTGGGACCAATGGTCACCGATTAGACATTGTTTGCTATATAGAGGGCGCAAGTAGCTTCAAGTAGTGCAGTCCCGCTTTAAAGAATGGTGTGCATCAAAGTTCTATACAGTATTCTACTATTCTATAAGACAAATAAATAATTATGCTTAGGCAGTTCTATTGTGCCTGACAACCTTCTTCATCCCATTTGCTGCACATTTAAATGCATAATGAATTTGTTATTTTGAAGCACCCGTGATGGGAAGATTGTGTGGTGGGAAACTGTTCGAAAGAAAGAACACAAGGGAGCTCATGGAAAGGTTGGGTCTGGAAGAAACTGGTGGAAGAGATAAAGAGAAGTGGATTGAGATGGAAGGGTCATATATTGAGAAGTGAAGATGATGAACCTGTGAAAAGAGCATGGGATCTGGAAGTGGATGGCATAAGAAGGAAAGGAAGACAACAAAAAAGTTTCTTAGATAGATACCTGGTAGGATGCGAAAGCTTATGTGCTTAGATTAGCAAGTGTGCGCTTGTAAAAATGACGCCTGGCTGGAATGCTCCCCAGGGAGTGGATACTGTACATTCATTGTGTGCGGGTAAGCCTGAATCCGAACAGTATGAATACTGATGAGGCTACCCTGTGTAAACAAGACATATTATTATTATTATTATTATTATTATTATAATACAATGAATTACATATACTTTGTTAATTTCACATTTTGTTTTGGTTTCTTCAGCTGATGACGTAGTATCCGATGATACTAGCCCAGACTCTTCCCCAGAACCTATGAAGGGTGATATGAGTCCTTGTCTGATCACTCAAGAAGAGAGGGTAGGAGCAGAGGTAAGTCTATCAAGTCTATCAAGCGTCTTAAAACATTTCTTTTCAAAAATACTTTCCAATGTTAACGAGAGAAAGTATGTTGAGCATATCTCACTCTTTTTGTGTTTCTCTATCCACTTTTCCTTCTTACCCTTTCTTACAGCGCATCAAGACATATTGTGATATGTGCTGTATTATATAAGTACGGTATATTATTATTATTATTATTATTATTTTATCATGTTCTTGAGCAAGGCATTTTATCTACTTTGCCTCTCTCCACCCGGGTGTAAATTGGGTACCCGCTAGGATGTGAACGCCTTTATGGTTGTGGATCAGCATGTGCACGCTCGTAAAAAGGCGACTAGCTGGAATGCTCCCCAGAGAGTGCAGGATAGTAATTGAATCCAGTGGCAGGGGTAGTAATAATACTGTTCCAAAATGGTAAAGTGCTTTATATATAACCGGTATTATGATTATTTATTTTGCTGGAGGGGTAATAGAATGTGGTTACTTCATTTTTTGGTCATTTTGTTTTTCATAAGTCTCTATCTGAGAACACGTTTTACGTTCCGATAAATCACTCAAGAGGAGAGAGTAGAAGTTAAGGTACACTTTCAAGCGTCAGGTTTGTTTTAGTGTTGGGGTGGTATTGAAGACTGTGGAAATCATAGCCATTTATACACAGAGTTTTGCCAACTTGGTTTCAGTATGTCACAACATGGCATATATTCTTTTGTTTGCGCTTGCCCAAGGTAGAGGTGTAGAAGTCAAGGGATACTTCAACGGACTGTGGATCACATGGTTTACTGTTTGAATCCCGCCGCGGCACTTATGTACTTTTGCAAGACATTAACCTACATTTGTCATTCTCTACCTAGGTGATTTAAATGGGTACCTGGTAGGAAGAAATTCCTTGAATGCCAGTGCTTTATACTTATCGAAATATTAATATTAAGAGATATACATGTATATTTAAATGATATTTTTGTTATTATTATGTTTGTTTTTTATAGGGTGATTCTGATCCTGAAGAAGAGAATGCAAAGAGTAGGAAAGTTTCAGATGAATTTGACATCAAGGCTGATCTTATGAAAGCTATAGGACCTATAAAAACAGATTCTACTCCTAAATCAGCTTTGTCAAGCTCAAAAATTAGACAGGTATGTTTCCTCAATCTTAAACTGTTTAACAATCGCCTCTGCAAAACTGAATAGTTTCACTGAATAGCAATAGATACTTATGTGGTTTTATAAATATGTACAGTAATGGCCCCTGATTTTGACTTCGTTATCTTTTTTTTGCTTTTTGACTAATACAATATCATGAGACAGGTTAGCAATTGGGTTTATTTTTTACTTTGATAAAAGAGCTACACTGTACCTGCATATACATGTATATCACCTTTTACATCTAGGGTGTTATTCTGAAAATAATGTTAGTAGTCATAACAAATCAAAATAAGGAAAAGTCTTTTGATCAATGTCTGTGCAAAGATGGCTGCATTTGGGTAAAGTTAAAAGAGACATCTGCGCCATCATGAACAGTAAGAGTTCCACGCAATTTGAATTTGTTATGAAAATTAACATCACTTTCCTTAAGAAAAGAGATAACGTTGTTTTTCAAAATGCTACCCCTGACGAGGAGGCTCGATAGCTCAGTCGGTAGAGCAGTAATCCGGTGACCCGGGTGCGAAACCAAGTTGATGCGCTAGTGCGGTTTGGTAAGGCATTAATCCTCATTACCAGGTCCCTCGGAGAGGACCTAAAGCCGTTGACCGTCTGATTGCTTACTAGCAAGCATTTATGCTTTCTTAGCAGACAGGTAAAATGGCCACCACTAAACAAACTGGTCTTCATATTCTTCCTATGCCGTACAGGAAAAGAAAGCCAAGCGACCCGTGTTCAAATTACACTCCCCTATGCCCGAGCTCTCGGAAGAAACTTGTGAAGACTCCTGCAGTCTACCCAACGGTACCCTCGAGACCCTGGAGACCGTCCTGGAGTCCAACACGGATACGTGCAAGGCGGAGGTACCGACACAGTGCTCGGTCAAGCAGGAAGGGGAGGTCAAGTGGGATGCAGGAGAGGGCGAGACCAAGCAGAGGAAGAGCTCTATTCTGTCAGAGACGTTCCTCAAAACGCTCGGTCTAAAGAAGGGAGAAGGAGAGTAAGTGTGCCAACTAAAGATATTTTAGATATATATTTAGATATTTTATTTATTCATCTTGTCCAAAATGTGGAAATATGCTTCCCAATAGCATTACTATAATACAAGAAACAGATAAGAGTACAAGAATTTGAAACGGGAAAAACAATTAAGCAAACAATTTCAAAACAAGAAATTGGTCGTCCTTTCAGAGAAATAATTGTTACGACATCCAATATGTTTAAACTTCTTTTCTGGTGAGATGATTAAAGATATTTCCTCCACTGCTTTTAACTGACTTTGTTTTTATAAATACTTGATGTGGTAAACTGCCCCTATCCCCTCCTCCCCCCCCCCCACAAAAATATTAATGTGGCAGAAAATAAGTCATTTTATGATTAATGGGAGATGGAGAAAAGTAGCTGAGCACACAAAAGGCCCCTAAATTAAGTTGCATGTACTTATCTGGGGGGTGTTTCACAAAGATCCTAAGTTGAACTTATCTCTAAGTTGGACTTAGCAATTATGGAAAACCGTTGGCATATATGAACATATTTTGTATAAGTTATTTTAAAAGGCATAAAATGTTGATTCAAATCATTCATATTTTCTATTTTCTAGGAGATTTCATGTTCTTGATGTGGAATTTATAAAAAGTCTAAAATCCTTGAATTTTTGCTTTTGACTGTGTCATACCTGAATGAGTCTAAGGCCATGTTAACGGAGCAGGATGTACATATAGGAGAGAAATACAACTCCTTAACGTTTTGTCATCATTGTGTTTCTTTCCACAGTAAAACGGCAGTGTTAACCGATCAAGAGGTAGTAGAGAAATACAACTCATTAACGTTTTGTCATCATTGCGTTTCTTTCCACAGTAAAACGGCAGTGTTAACCATACAAGAAGTAGTAGAGAAATACAACTCCTTAACGTTTTGTCATCATTGTGTTTCTTTCCACAGTAAAACGGCAGTGTTAACCGATCAAGAGGTGGAAGAGAAATACAGCGCTTTAACGTTTGCTTTCAAGACTGATCGTCTCACTCTAGAGCAGAGATACAAGATACAGCAACATCAGAGGAATGTTATAGAGAACTATCTCAAAGAAGAGATAAGAGATCATGCTGCGGTTGTTCGGGTAAAACGCTCTTCATTCATTCATTTATATATAGTCCTATCAAGTTCTTCAAGACATTGTTACTTGAAAACAAAGTGGCTGCCGATTGAAAAAACAATATCATATTATTGTGCCGTTATATATATATATATATATATATATATATATATATATATATATGCCCATTGATGGTGGTGGTTATTTTACCTGACTGCTAAGAAAGCATAAATGCTTGTAAGTAAGCAACCAGACAGCCGGCAGCTTTATGTTCTCTCTGAGGTACCTGGTAATGAGGATTAATGCCTTACCAAAGGGCACTCTAGCATATCGACTTGATTTCGAACCCGGGTCCCTGGATTACGAGACCACTGCTTTACCAACTGAGCTATCGCGCCCACTTCAATATATATTTCATCAAGACATTTATGGTCTGGTAATTTATGTTTAGTTGGTCCGATTACGCCAATGCAATTCCCCTCCCCCCCCCCCCCCCCTTTTCATAGGGGGTCTGGATTAGAATTTGAGGCACTGTTTGTATGCCGCTGTTCACATTTTCAAATATGGGTGTCGAGAATCCCTCGTGCATTTGGGCAGGCCTGATATTAACCTGATTTAAATCGGCTTCCTGATTATTTTGTTTAAATTTAAAACCACTTATTTTTTTTTTAGTGCTCACTATCACCCCTGCTGGGGTCATGTTAGGATCAAGCCATGGGTTTAGTGAGCTAAAACAAAATATGTGATGGAGGGCCAGGAATGAGTTACAAGAGCCATACCCAAACTCCTGAGTAAAATGTAATGTTTGTTTATTTGTTTTTGTTTATTTTTGTATTGTTGTTTGTGATGTAGTCTCTGGAACAAAGATGTGCAGAGGATGAGATCGCCAGAACGGACATTAACAAACTGAAGCAACATATTGACGTGATTCAGTATGCCCTAGTCAAACTTGCCAGCAAGGCGGAGGGATTCGGTGCAGTACAACAGGTCTGTATTCAAATCATGCACCTCACAACATTTAAAGATAAAGACCACTTATGGTCGTGCGATTGCATTGTGAAAGAAACCTTGTGAAATCGATCAGAAAAGGTTGCTCATCTAGCATAGATGTACTGCAAGGTTGTAGAATTATCAAAATGATAAGAAATTTGGCCCAGTCTTCATGAAGTTACAAGCACTGTACACAGAAAGATGTATATGGGACTATGCACACGTATGCGACACATGCGTTTTTATCTCTCACATACCAATAGATAAACTAATTTACCAAATATATCAATTAGGCGGTTTCCCGGCAAATTTTTTATCATCATGTATTATTCAAACATATTCTTTCACATGATTGGTAATAAGAGCTTCCATTTCATTTTTTGAAATTGGGGCGTTTCCAAAACTGGTCTTTACCTTTAAAGTGTACCAATCACCACATTTATTTTTGTTTGTGAATAGTTCCAAGTCATGATATTCTTTTTTGAATATGAGCTTCGAATATTACTTCTGTAAAGAGATGTTGCAAGTTTGAATGCGCTCTGAATTAACATAAAAGCAGCTCGCGATTGATGCACTTGTACGCGCTCGCACAAAATAGGGCCTGTATGAACCCAAGTGCTACTTGAGTTCTGTGCGCTCAGATTTATTTTACTTTGTGAGTCTCATCAACCATGTGCAGTCATTATCGCTTCGTCGCCATTTTGAAAGAGCAACTTTTTCAAGCAATCAGAATTATTGTGAAATATCAATGATTTGTTTTCTGGCGGATTATTACAGATAAACTGTAAACTTACGTTTGTTTTCCTTTTGGAACAATTTCGGAGTATTTTCGGTCCTTTTTTCGAGTTTTCAATTTACGATTCGTATCTGTTAGCCGATAAAAGTCGTGTGAAGCTTTTCAAGGTAGATTTTATACATCCTAGCTTTACATGAAATACTTAAAGGTGTATGGTACCTTTTAAATATTTTTATTGTTATTTTCATTTTTATTATGACAGTGATCATTCATCACTGTGAATATCTTCAACCGTCATCAAATTCATTTTCTTTATTACAATTGTCATCATCATATTCTTCTTCTTCTCATTCATCATCATCATCTTCGTTATTGTCATCATCATCAATGTATTCATGATGATCATCAACATGGTCATCAAATCCTCATCTTGAACTTTATTTTCACCATCTTCTTCTCCTTCATCATCATCTTCATTACTGTCATCATCATCATTGTATTCATGATGATCATCAACATGGTCATCAAAATCCTCATCTTAAACTTTATTTTCACCATCTTCTTCTCCTTCATCATCATCTTCATTATTGCCATCATCCTCACAATCATCATTATAGTCCTTCAGAAATCACAGCGACCTAAACGCAAGTAGAGTATCTCAAAGAAGTTTGTTACCACTGCCATCATCATCAGTATAACTTGATTTTGTTTATGTTTGTGGCTGATATAGGAGGATAGATTGAGCAGAGCTTCTGATGTCATGGTGACCCATGTAGAGAATATCAAGAGAAGTCTGGAGAACGAAAAAAAAGAGCTCTCAGAAGCAAAGTAAGTAATAACCTCTAAAAACTATATCAATAGATAGAAGAACAAAAAATGAAATGGCATTTAGCTTCAGAAAATTATGAGGATTCAATCTTTAAACTGTTTTTCTACTACCGTTATACAAAGTGATTTATTATTGTTTTGTTTTTCTTTTGTCATTAACTAGGAGAGTTCTACATGAAAACAAGATCTTACTAAGAGGCAATACTATGACTGGTGATGGTAAGTATACCTTGGGTTAGATGCGGTGAAATAAAAACTTGCTTGGATGCAGGGTTATAATAATACAAATGATAACATACTGTGTTTTGTTTATTCAGGGTAGCATCATCAATATTGATGCTGTTCTCCCTGAGGGCCCTGCAATCATATTATTACCTAGGCTTTAGCCGAGCTACCATGATAAGGTGCTGGTTTTTATTCTTAAATCACACATTTACATACATGTATATGTTCAGTGCAAGTGCAGGGAATTCCTCTAAAGCCCATCTGCACTAGTTTGGCCAGGGGGATTTTCTCATTGAGTCATCTCTCAATTAACATAAGAAAAAGAGGATCATGGGGGACCAACAGGCACTGATTAGGCATTGCTTGCTATATAGAGGGCGCAAGTAGCTATAAGTAGTGTACTGGGGCTTTAAAATGATGCTAAATATCACCTTTAATGTTGTTTATTTTTTCAGATTCTGATTCAGGAGGGAGATTACGACGAGCATCAACACTAACCAATCCGGCTATGAAGGTAAGAAAAGACACTTCTGTTTGTCTCGGGCTTCATAAAACATTACCTTTATTAGTTAGCATTTGATAATAAACATGTACTAAACTCTGTGTGACTGGGTATATATAGAGAGACTAGTTCTTGATTTGAATTGATTAACAGTATTCAGCTAATAATGTTTGGTGCTGATGAGAATTAACCATGCATACATAACAGCCTTTCTTCACTATGTATCGAACTGGTTTTGATAAATGCACTGTTGGAGTGATTTTTGTTAAAAATTGTGCAGAGCAGAGCTGTGCTATGAGTTTACTAACAAATGTTAATCACAGTCGTGTTTATATTCAGGAGATTAGGCCCCAGTCTTCTAATTGATCACAGCTTGATATCAATCAGGGCAGGGTTTCACGAAACCGTCTCAAGTACAAGTTTGCTGACAACCCATTGAAATGTGTTCGAAATTTTAACACATGTTCAAGTGTGATGTCGATAAACTTGTACTTATGATTGTTTCGTGAAACATGCCCAGTCCTATAAAAAGAGATGGGTGTTTGTAAGTATGTGATTGATTAGAGGACTGGGGATCAATCTGAATCATTTGTAAGTCTTTTTAAGACAGGGTCCTGGGGGGTGTTTCACAAAGATCCTAAGTCAAACCTAACTCTAAGTTGGACTTTAACATTATGGACAGCCATTTTAGCCTTAAAATGAAATACATTCAAAAGCAAAAATTGAAGTATTTTTAGACTTTTCATAAATTCCACATCAAGACCATGAAATCTCCTTGATAATATAAAATATGAATAATCAACATGAATAATCAACATGTTATGCCTTTGAAAATAAGTTTTACAAAACACTTTCTAAGATGCTAATGGCTTTCCATAATTGTTAAGTCCAACTTAGAGATAAGTTCAACTTGGGATCTTTGTGAAACACCCCCCTGGTTTGTATTCTTTGCTTCAAATATATTGGTGCTCCAACGTTTGCATTTGAAAACTTCAAACCTTGATATTTATTTTGGTGTCTTCAACATTTCTTTGTTTCTGAAGAGACCCTCGGGAGACCAAGTATGTATTTCATTCTGCATGGGGCAGTGTTTAATTTATCATGATCAAGAATTGCAATACATCCAAGTATATGCTATTCTCAGCATGCATTTATGCCGGGTAGTGGGAAAACAAAGTCACTCTTCTTTTCAATGCTTTTCCAGACCTGCCAAGTACAGGGTATCCTGCATTCTGGAGAAAAAAAATCCTGAAAATGTGCTGCATTTTGCATTAAAAATATTTTAAAACATGAACAATTTTTTTTTTTTAAAGAAGAAAAAAGGAAAAAACAACCAAGTACCAAGTATCACTATTAATATCAATCATCACTATCATCATAATCATTATCATAATCATCATCATCACTGTCATCATAGTGATTCAGTAAGGGTAAAAGTAGTATAATTCTCTCTCCTTTTGAGGTTCACAAATGAGGATATAATATTATACATTTGTATGACAACACCCTTGAACCTGTTTTTCTTCATCCTTGAGTGGGCTTTATATACATGTTTCAATGTAAAATCTGAGACAATATAGGCATTAGTTAAATTACATTCAGGATTGTTAATATAACATAATATAATATAAATCAAATCAAATCAAATCAAACATGGATAGAAAAGATGATAAATGAAGATGTGTTCAGATAAGGAATAGTCAAACCACAATCAACACGATAAGAACGAGGCCAATACAATTTGTTGGTCACAAATACAGAACAGATAATCAGGGAAAAACAATATTAACAGGGAACATTGCTGGAAAGAGAAGCAGGGGAGGGCAATGCCTCACAAATCTGTAAAGCCTGAACAAATGGGCTACCAAAAATGAAATCAGCAAAACCAGCTTTTTTAAGAATAGCAGAATTTGGACAGAAATGGAGGGA